ACGATAGCAATATACGGGAATAAAATGTTTCTTCAGGACGAACCCACCAGTTTTAAGACTGACTTGTTTCTCCAGATAAGTCATACTATAACCTCTCAGACCATCTGATTTTCACAGACTTATGATTGGAACTCCCCTAAGACTTCTCTAACTGTGTCCTCCCGCGCTCATATTTTTCCTTCATTTTAGATAAGCATTCGTGAACTGAGAAGTCGTGGTTTACAAGCTGATCTTCTAATGTGCCGCTGCAATTGCTCTCTCCCTCCGAAAGTGATGGAAAAGTTGGGGCTTTTTTGCCAAGTCCCCATTGATCACGTGAGTTTTTCTCTACAAAATGGCCTCCCTTACTGGGTATCAAGACTACTCCTGTACTCCTATCGTTTAAGCCTAGCTTTTCAATGAACTCATGGCAAATAAGGAATTTAGAATGTCTTCGTCAAGGGATCCTTTCATATGCAATTTTGATGTCTGTGAAGCATGAATGCTACGAGACTCAGCTAACTTGCACATTCAGCAACTTTGGGGATCCAGCCAAGTCTGAAAAGGTGTATGTCCAGTAGGGCTGTGATTCTTTATTTTTATTTTGTCGTTTTGTAACGTTTGACGATAAATAAGTCAGAACTAGACCTGTCGTCGTAACGCTCATTGGTAACTGTTCTCTCTGATGACCTGTTAAGACACTGAATTCCCAATTCCAAGACATGACGGAGTCACCCGTTTCTATTATATAGCCGGGATATATATGTTGACGCCACTCACGTTACGCTGCACAGCGAGTTCCTGGTCGCAGCTGAAAAGACGAGTTAAAATACTCACTGACCCACAGCACTTGAATTCAAACGTCGACTGTGCGGGGGATTTAACCAGCTGTTGCCGGCTACTAGACCAACAATTGTCATTTCGATATTGATGGTTTTTGCCGGTAAAATGTATCGATAGTGGGAAAAAGTATTTGTATTATTAAACGCTAGTATCAATGTAGCTCGCTCCGTTGCAAACCTTTAAAACTCTCGATTGCATGAATTTGGGCTTATCACAGGGTATTAAGTAAGTCAAACCCTAGCCACTGCGATCTTCAGACCATAGTTACTTAGTCGAGAAGAAGTCGGTGGAGTCCAGAGTAGTAGGAGCAGTATATTGTGTACACAGAAGAACTGAGAATAGATGGAAGAAATCTGACTTGGGAGCACACGACTGGTCAGGAGAGCCAGCCGGGTCAAAGCGCTGGTTGGACAGCAGTCAGGCCAGTGGACAGAGAAAGCAATTCACGCGTACAGGCACTATTCGTCGCCTGGCCAGAAATCAGTTTTTGCAGCAACTGTGATTGGCTGATCCAGGCATGGAGACTAGCGTTTGTGAGCCTTCGGAAAAGTTCACTTCGACGCGAGCTAGTCACAACAGGCTAAGGGAAAAATGAATTGATTTGCTATTTCCAAGATAATTTGGAACAAATATTACGGTAATTGTTGCTGATAACGGTCTGCTTTGATCTAGACTGATAGCTGGCTATCACCGGTTACTGATCAGGACCTCTCGGGGTAAAAAATAGTCTGGGTGTGTATGTTAGTCCCTTCCAGTGGCTCAGTCATTGATTGCTATAAGGACTTGTCTTTTGTAAAACGGATAAGTCGATTTTGTTTTACTTTTAAGAAATTATGACAACCCTATGCACTGCTGACTTTTATTATGGCCGTCACCCAGCCCGAGAGCTTCTCGTTCGTTAAGCTTCTTTAATTTACCATTTGCTTCTGGAGGCAGAAATTCCACGCATTAAGGAATGCCAAGCTTTGCGGCAAGTTATGTCTAATTCGGACAATGTCACCAGCTTTCCCCCCCCCACCCCCCCACTTTCATTCCTAGCGCCAGGATTAATTAAAATAACAGAAAGAAACGGAGTGATGCAGTTATTCAGCGGTTTTCAGACCACAGTACATCAACCGTGGATGCAGTAGTCCGTTGCAAATCCTGGTTAATTTTTTCCGGTATTATTTATGACTCCTTAACTTTCCTGCCTTCCGTCAGGTTCTGGAGGTACAGGACGTCGACATCCTCTACGAGGTGCCCATCAGGCTAGAAGAACAGAATCTCTCGAATCTCTTGCTGGACCATTTTGATTTGCGCGCCAAGTCACTGGGACCGGAACCGCCTCTGGCTTCGTGGCATGCTATGGTGGACCAGATAAAGCATGCAAACAGGACAATCAGAGTTGCGGTTGCGGGCAAGTACACCAAACTGAGTGATGCCTACTTGTCTCTTATCAAGGTAGGTCCGCATACGCTGTTGTAATCCACACAAGGCCTGGCGCACACAGATCTGTTCTGTCTCGGAGTAAAGCAGACTGATTTTATGATGCTATGACTAACATCCGCAAAACAAATAATCAAACAATAACTGGTAGACTAACAGCTACTTGTTGTAATAACCTTGGGTGTGCCTGCGTCAACACTGATTATATCCCCCACTTGCATATTAGGAAAGAAGGCAGACAGGATAGCAGATAATAGTTTACTGTCACTGTTTCTGCTTGTACATCGGCTCTGTCTTCTGTGTGTCGGGCAGTTTGTCCTGTGTCCGTCAGCAGTCCCGTGTCTCCAGCAGCTGAATCTAGTGTCCCTAGCGGCAGAGTGCCG